TGGATGGTATAGAATAAACAAACCTCAAATATACAACAACATGGAGATTACCTTTAAAGATATAGAAAAAATTGAACTCACAAAACTAATACCATTGGTTTTAATGTATTGGGATATCAAGAGTAGCAGCATGAGAGGTCCAGGATATTTACCAGTAGGAGAAAATTACGAGGATTATATATACATGATTCAGATAGATTTTTTTTTCTTAACAGAACAATCACTATTTAAACGTTTCTGCATAACTACGATTTCGATACAACAAAGATTATTAGATGAAAAATATTTGTTAAATATTGATATTATTCATGTTAGTTCATAAGAAAAATTGATTAAAATATTTTTCGAAATATATAAAGTATATTCACCATCATTTGAATTAGGATACAATACAGATTGGAATTTTTTTTTGAAAAAGATTCATCTTTTGAAGATAGAATTAAATCTTGAAATACAGAACATTAGAGAAAGTACGATAAAAGTATCTGAAAAAGATATTGATGAGAAGATAAGTAGACAATTTTTAGATATTAAATCTAACAATCGAAGTATAAAAATAAATCCAACCGAAACGATGGTTTGTAAATATTACCAGATAAAAAGAACAGTATTTTTAGATCTTTTGGTTTGGGTTCGAAAGATATTTCTAACTGAGATAAAAAACACGTTAGATGCTTTGTTAAGACGTTGTGGTCTATTAGGAAAGGTGGATCTTCTATATATTCCAGAAAAAAAAAATTTCCGAAGCATGTTTGTTTACGTGAATGCAATTAAATTTAGAAATGATATTCAACATTTAACCAAATTAGCAGAACAATTATCAAAATTAACAAAAATATCATTGGAAAGATATAAAGAAGCTTTGATAGTGAATGATGCTATATTAGAAGAATATGGTGTTAAATTGGCATATTATTGTTCCATTGATACATTACGATTATATGAACTTGTTTTGAAACGAAATATAATTGGAGACTATATACAACTAGCAACTTTAACATGCACAACGATATCAAATGTTTTTATAAACGGTGTTGGATGTTTGGTATGAAATTTTTATGGAAGATTTGCTGTGAGAAATGATATATTGATATCAAATCGTAGAAAAGGTGAAATTGTTGTAGAACAATATCAAGGAGGTTTAGTTTTAGTTCCTACGACTAATTTAAACAATCGACCGGTAGCTGATCTTGATTTCACATTTTATTATCCTAACACAATAATCACAAACAATATATCTTTAGATACACATGTTAATATTGATTCTACAATGAAAAATTTAAATATAATTTCTGATTTAGATCAAATATATGGTAAATTTATTCAACACGATGGTGAAGAAAAAAAGATGGGTTTGATGCCCTTGATATGTAAAATGTTGTTAGAAGAATGGGCGAAAGCCAAACAAAATATGAAAAAACATTTTCAAGATAAACAATTATATCTTTATTAAAATTCTTTATCCAATGCTCTCAAGATATTGGCAAATTCAATATATGGTAAAACAGGATATAGATATTCACCACTTTATCATAGAGATGTATCTTCGTCTGTTACTGGTTTTGCTCATTCAAATCTTTGAAAGATGATTGAGTATGCGAAAAATAAAGGCTACATGATAATTTACAGGGATACAGACTCATTTTTTTATACGATTCTAGAACATTTTTTTACACATTTGGATCAAAAATATAAGATAAAAAAAAACATATCGTCAATGATACAAAGAAAGATAAAGCAACTTCATTGGTACGAGATGGTGAAAAAAACTATAACACAATCGAAAATTCTCGAAAAAGAGATAAACAAATATCTACAAAAGATAACGAGTCATTCATACTTGAAAATGGTGTATGAGAAGACAATAATGCCAGCATTATACCTTCATAAAAAACAATATTGTGGTTGTGTACATGAGAACGAAGTTGAATTTGACACACCAAAACTTCTGGTCAAAGGTCTCAAATTGGTGAAACGAAATGTATCAGAATTTTATAAAGTGGTCGCGGAAGAACTGATCTGGTCATCGTTAGGATATGAGGAGGATAAACAAATTTTGATTTCTAATACGAGTTTGAAAGAAAAAACATTACAAACTATATCCAAATATATTGATGAAGATAAAGTATCTCTAGAACTCTTTAAACTTATAGTCAAATATGACCCTACAACCAATCAACGGGTAAAGGATTTTTGGAACATGGAAGAATGCAAACTAAAAGGTGATGAGACCAAAAAAGGAAATAAGATGGTAATTTCATATGTGACCAAGATAGCTGATTACGGTATTACGATTGAACATGGACGATTTTACTATTTTGTAATTTGCATTCCAAATATGAGTGTTGTATCATATAGAATGTGTCCATATGATTATTTTGTAAAAAATCGAATAACAAAAAAACTTCGTATAGATATACCTTATTATTTCGATAGTTTACGAGATATTTGTGCGTCACTTTTAAGATGTGAAGTGAAGAAGGCTCAAGATATGATTCAAGAAATATTTGATGTGAACGAAAATAAGAAGCAGTTGAGGATTACAGACTTCACAAATCATATTATAGAATCTTCTTCAAAAAAAAGAAAACACGAAGAAAAATTTTGTTCGAAAAAACAAATTAAATTAGATATTTATTTTAAAAAGTATAAAAAAAATATAAATTAACCAGTTATTAACCGGTTAATTTTTTCATGATTAAAAAAATGTCGATTGTTGAAAGACCAAATTTGTTGTCATTAGCTTACGAGCTTCATTATATGATTTTTCTTGATATCTATAAAAAAAAAGATCAATATCATCTTGGTAGAACATGCAAATATTTGTGGGAAATATATTCAAAAACATTTAATGATCCTAATTTTTATTATTTTTATGAAAATTCTTACACTTTTAACACTTTTTTGCGTCGAAAGATATTACTTTATAAATTCAGATATATTAAAAAAGCCAAAAAGTTAGATGTTGTTTATTTTGATAAAAGATATCAACGGTGTGAATTTTGTAAACAAGCAAAACTTAATTGTGATTTTAAACTAGAATATGGACTCTGTCAAAGGAAAAATCAAAAATGTATTAAAAAAAACCATTTATTCAGAAAACTCTTTTCAAGACTGATAAAGGAGAATGATTTATTAGAACATTAGATGATAGAAGGTCTAATGGAACCATGGTTTTAAAACATTATGATGATATAGCTGATATTGGAAAACTAACTTGTGACAAATGTTCTAGATGTGACTTCTGTGGTTCTTGTAATGTTTTTAATAATCGATGTGATATTGATTTGTGTTTTTTCAGAAGAAATCACACGGATGACTCAAATATAGCGGTAGATCTTTTTAACACATTATCACTTATAAATCTTACACATATCCACCAACTTTGTCAAAATTGTTTTCATAATTGTTCTAAACAAACACAACTTAAAATAATAAATTCATCAGATTGGAGAGCTATTTAAAGATGAGATATATAAAATTTGAACACAACATTATCATTTGCAACATTTTCTCTTTGATATAAAAATTTTATCGAGCAAATCAGCAATCAGAAAACATAATCAATTTTCTTAAAGAAATTCCTCAATTCGATGATGAAATGTTTAAAAAATTTATTTCAATTCAGGAAAAACAAAAATCACTTCGTACACTAACAAAATCTGAATTTGATTATATTTTAAAAATACAAACAGTTAAATCGTTTGTAGTGTTAGAAGAAACTGTCAAGTACCAAAATACAATCTATATTATCAAACATGTATTCTATTAGAATTTAATTAACTATTTGCTTATTCTCTACTCAGTTTAAACCGAGTAGAATTTATTTTATTTAACAATAAAAATATCAAATTAGTTTGTAAAAAATGGTTGAAATCGAGATCGGTTCAAACCTATCTTTATGTTTAATCGAACTTTCTAAAGCTTTTTTCCTTTGTTTTGCATTATACTATATATTATACTATATATTTAAATTTTTTACTCTTATGATAAAGGTAAATAAGTAAAATATTATACTGTTGCCAAAAGAGGAAAAATTGGAATTTATCAGGAATTCTCTTTCAAAAAGGTTACTGAACCATTTGCTTATTCTCTACTTAGTTTAAACCAAGTAGAATTTATTTTATTCAACAATAAAGATAAAGATGAACATTAACAAGAATCATAGAACCAAATATATTTTACTACGTGATAAAGATTATACTGTTGAAAAAACTAAATATTATTTTTATTACGATGAAAAGATTTTTTTAAAATATAACGAAAATAAATATGAAATTCCTTCTGCTTATTTTAATTCATTATGTTTACTTGATTTTTCATTTCTAACTTTCAAATATTCCAAAAGAGAATTATGAACGATGTTTAAAAAAAACAATTCTTTTGGGGTTTATAGTTTCTAGACGAGTTATATAATTGTAAAGTATCAAAATGCAAAACAAAAGATGAAAAATTTCATTGTCACGAGATTTGTGAGAAATGTTATAAAATTTATCGCCTAAATTTAGACGATGATTTTGATTAAAAATCAGAGTATATTTTTTTAAGAGTTACTTATTTTTATTTTTTCCTGATTAGTTTCGACCAATCAGATTTTTTTTAATTAGCTCTAAATTTCTATTTAAACCCGATATCTTCTATTTTTTAACACTAAAAGAATATTTAAGAGAAAGGTGAGAGAGCTCTCAACTGTATTTTGTTTAGAAATTCATTTTCTTCACTTTATACTAACTCTCACTAGGACTGATTATCTGTCAATCGATATCGACTAACCGATTCATTTTTTTTTAGATGCCAAAAACTAAACCCAGATATTATGCTGTACGAAAAGGACGTAAACCAGGAATTTATTTAACTTGGGATGAATGTAAAGCGCAAGTTAATAAATTTCCTAATGCTGTTTACAAAAAATTTTCTACTCGTACCAAAGCTCAAAATTTTAATGAAGAAAAACGTGAAGTTTCTGTTGTTCTAAATAATAGTAAAATCCAAGTTTGGACAGACGGATTATCATTTAATAATGGTACAAAAAAAGCTCAAGCAGATATTGGAGTTTTCTGGAAAGATAATGATCCTAATAATTTGAGTAAAAGATTACCAGGATCAGAACAAACTAATAATCGTGCAGAAATATATGCTATAATTCGTACTCTTGAAATTTGTGAAAATAAAACAAAACCTTTAGAAATAATGACAGATAGTAAATATATAATTAGTATAATCAAAGATTGGGCTGAAAAATGGGAAAAAAATAGATATATGAGTTATAATAATAAATCTATCAAAAACCAAGATTAAATCAAAAGGTTAAAAAAACTTATTGATAATAGGATAGAAACAGTTCAATTAGTTCATGTTAGAGGTCATTTAGGAAATTATAGTAATGAACAAGCCGATAGATTAGCCAAACTTGGTTCGTTAAAAGAAGCAGTTACAGAAATCTCCAAATTAGAAAATAATATTTGTATTACAGACTATTTTAATAAGAAATAAATATTTT